GATTTGGACTTATCTGCTAAGCTGCCGTATACCTTCTGAAGTCAACACTTTACCGCTCCCCCGCTCCTTCGCAGCGTTTGCCGTGAGTGTATTCATGAACAGGAGATCGGCTTTGACCCTCAACCTAAACCCCCGGCAGCAACAGGACGTTCTAGTCAGCAGCTGGATGGACGCCAAACTCTCCTCTCCTCTCCTCTCCTCTCCTCTCCTCTCCTCTGTGGAAAAGGTTTCTCCCAACAGGTGTAAAGCTCTTCAAGGGGAGGAAAAAATAAATAAAACAAAAAAGATGAGAAAATGTAGAAAGAAAAAAAATTCACAAAACAGCGTTAAAGCAAGAAGCTGAAGGAGGAAAAAAACATGAAAGAGCCGTCACTGTAGGGGTGATATCCTGAACGCTGCCAACTGTCACATAATCGTCTTCTGTGCAGCGGCTATACAGAAAGGTGCTGGGAGCAGAGGATTGTGGGTAGGTGGGAGGCTGGCTGGCTGGCTGGCTGGCTGAGTCGGCCATTAGAGCGAGCAGAACCAACAGCGTCAGCTGAATAAAACCAGGGCGAAGATGATGATTTTCAGAATAAACTGCACTTCAGATTGTGTGTGTGTGTGTGTGTGTGTGTGTGTGTGTGTGTGTGTGTGTGTTTTGACCTTGTACCAAGAGGTTTATAAGCTTTTAGACTCTGCAAAATAAAATTACATAGAACGAGAGTGAAGCGACAATATGGAGGAAAAGAAAGCGGAGCAGGCGGAGGAGGAGGAGGAAGAAGAAGAAGAGTGGAGGCAAATGGAGAAGCTCATTAGCAGAGAATCAGTTTGGATTTTAAAGACGGCAGATCATTAGGGCCAGGAGGGATCAGACATCACTGTACACCACTGTTTATCCTCCCACCAACACTCGTGTGTGTGTGTGTGTGTGTGTTTGTGTGTGAGAGAATGTTTCAGTGCAGAGGATGAAAGGGTTCATGGGTAAAAAAATCTTTTCAGCTTCCTCCCTCGCCCTCTTTTTCTCTCCCTCGCTGCCTGTCACTTATTTCTTTTATCCCTCTTCTCCATTTTTACCTCCCGCCGCCCGCTCCTCTCCTTCGCTCCGGAAAAAGCAACAACCTCCCTGAAAATATTGCCACTCAAAGGAGAAAAAATGATCGCGCTGGAAAATTCTCATACGTAAAAAAGCAGACCTCAGCCAGAGAGATCAAAACCTCTGAACCGTCGAAAAGCTCAAACAGCTGTACTCGTTTCTACATCTTCCTCCGTGGACGTGTTTTTTAAAAAAAATTTTCATTAATTTAAACATCACGAAGATTTTTTTTGAACACTTCTTTCCAATAAACTTTTCTCATAAACTCTCTCCCAATTAACTGCTGCGTTAAAATCAGTGTCCAACCCAGTTCAGAGGGCTGGATTGATGATTTCAAATGGTGATGATTTGGCTTAACTTCTCTTTGAATGAATAGATTGCATTCACTATTAAAGGGTTTGGTTTGCACATTTTTACCAGTGCGGTGTCATGTAATGCGCAACGGTGGAGCACGCTGGTCAGTTTGGTTATTTCCGATGTGACGTTGGAGTACATGTGCTTAGTGATTTCTAGTATTAAGGTGACTTGTTAGCACTCCGCTCCGCTCATTAATCTACGCGGGACGGCAGATTGTGGCCTGAGTCTCTGACCGCAGCGGGACGCGAACAGACGCGTTCATGCGGGCCTCGACAGTAACAACTCGAATCAATAGGAACGGACGACAAACTGCCACTCGTTCGTGAAGAGCAAATGAATGAACAGAGGGGGGAAATTGCACCTGTTAGTCCCGCAGACCGACACGCTGGCGCCTCGCAAACAAACACTCACATGGGAAAGATAATTCTCTAATATTCGACTCGAAGCAGCAGGACGTGAGCGTTTGACGGCGTCCTCTGGTTTTGAAGTCTCTCGTATCGTCGGCTCCCTCCTCCATGCCTCTTGTTCGGTTTTCCTATTTCTATGCAAATTCATCTTCCGCCTCGTGGTTGCACAGAGCGAGCCGTGGAATGCGGCGTGGCAATGAACCACTGGCTGCATCGAGGCTGCCGCCACGCAGATGTAGTTCAGCTCCAAACTGCAGCAAACAGGGAGAGGGAGGACAAAGGAGAGGGTGAGACAGGGAGGGAATTGGAATGGCCTTCGCATTTCTTTGCTTTTGTAAGTTGAATTGATCCGTCTCTCTTTGGATTTTTCTTCGCTTCTTTTATTTCTCTCTGCGTGGAAAAACAGAAAACAAAGAAAAACACAGTTATCCTTTCTCTCAGTTCATTGAATCGATCACCCTCTCTCTTTCATTCTATCGTCTTCTTTTCTTTATCAGGCCTTTTTTTTTGTTTTCATCCCTTCAGCCCTCCCTCCCTCCTGTTTCTGCAGCCCACACTCTCATCTCCTCCGCTCCCGATGTGAATATTCGACGTTCAGACAGCAGATCCAGCAGCGGCGGTTCTGCTCTGAGAGTGGGATCGATTCTAAAGAGGAGAGAGCGTGGCACTCATGCACGCACCCGCTTTTGTTTGCGATGGCGGCTAACGTGCTGCAGAAGTTGATAACATCTCCTGCAGGTGTCCCTGTTTGTGAATAAGCACTTTGCAGAAAACACTTCCTGTCGTTTTTGTTTGCACCGAAGAGCAAAGTAACAGAAGTTGAGTCTCACACTTTTCTCTCGTGCGTTTCCATTCAAAGCGATGCTGCCATGATGTATGTGGAGCTCGGTGATGCGTCACCCACTGCTTACGTCAACGGTGCCTTGGTTCTTGGTCCTCTGTTCACTCAGACCTCAGATCAGACCTCCAGACATCAGATGGGGGAAATATATAGACGTTTAGGTTCACTTCATCCTTCAACGGGCAAAACTGCAGTCTCTTGTATTGAGTCTGTGCTAATCGTTTCACACGTTTGTTCAGCTAATTCGGCTTCACTCAAAATTATGTCAACTCATTTTGGAGTGTCGTGATGCAATGCACGGAAAAGTGTGCACCATTACAACAATATTTAGTATTTTGTAAACTAAAAGTATACATGAACACTTAAACATGTTGTCATAATCAATTCATTGATTCATTGTTTTTCGATATACAAGCACTAGGTCTACTGTGTATCAATGTTCCAATGTTAATAAAAGCATCATGTCCAAATGTCCGGCTACATATGATGTTAAATACGATGAACAATAGTATAAAAACAATAATACATCATTCGTACACGCAAGTATGTGAAACGAAATGTACTGCACTGTTTTTGGAGAGTGTGTGTGTGTGTGTGTCATCGCCTCACTCCTTTTCACTACCCTTTGAATGCTGGAGCTGTGTTTCCATAGCAACGCTGACCCCTGGGAGTCAATGTTATTTTTTTTCCACACAAGTAGCCTCTTTAGAATTCCTCCCTCTCTCTCTCTCATCCTTCCCTCCCTCCCTCTCTCTCTCATCCTTCCCTCCCTCCCTCTCTCTCTCATCCTTCCCTCCGTCCCTCTCTCTCTCTCATCCTTCCCTACCTCCCTCTCTCTCTCTCTC